TTAAATTAATTACTCTACAACCCATACTTATTTTATATGCTTAAAAAATAATACAATCAATCATCAAATATATGCTAACAAATCAATGAAGCTCTTAGAACCTATTTTATTCATTGTTCATAAAAAGAGAACCTCTTTTATTCATTTATTATTGTTTCCATCTTTAAAAAAAAAAATCACTTATTATCTCAATACACAAACTTGCAAAATGAAACGATCGATCAATGAATCCCAAAGCGAAATCACTTAAACTAGGGATTCAAGGAATACCCTTCTTATAAATAAAATAAAAATGAAAAATGAAACCAAGCAGAAAACGGGCCAAAAAAATCAAGCCCAAAAGATTTGGTGCCCCAACTGTTATGGCAACTTTGGCCCTAAACAATAGAAGTCCCTTCTCTTTTTGGCCATAGCAATAAAAGTCCTTTAATTATTTTCTCTCCTTTTCCTTATTCCTTCAATTTAATCAATTATGTAGGGGGGAAATGGTTGATTTCTTGTCTAAATATCTTTCTATTTTCATGTTAAGATATAAATGCTTAACCGATGGTAGTTTTAAAAAAAAGGGAAGAAAGTTTAGAGTGAAGTTAACTCCATTTTCAACCATAATTAGAGTCCTATATGGTGCAATCATCTAAATAGTCTAGACTCCACAATCCATCTTTGAGAAATGGGTGTTTTGGTCATTTGAGTAATATTAAAGATCATTTATAAGCTTAGCCACAAAAAGTTTAACTTTTGAATACTCTTATATACATTTTTCAATCATATAAATCCTGTAAAACATAATTGAGAAATATATGTCTCAAATATTATGACAAAATATTTAAGGTTCTAAATGAAAACATTCACATAAATCAATTGTAAATGAAGCAACGGAGTTTCACGTTGCAAAATCTAGCCTATTTTTGCCCTATTTGGGTCTTAAAGCCACCCAAGAAATGATATCTTCCATGCCCACTTTGCTTGCTTAACCATTACCCTCAACCTAAGTTTCTTACCATTATCTCTATCAATTTCTTCGAGCCAGGTGCAATAACATAGTTAGTTAGGTTCTCAATTCTCATTAACGTGTGTCTATCGTTTGTTGAATACTAATTACATATTGATGCAACATTAAGAATTTCCATTGATATGAGTTAAAAAGATATTGATAACATTAAAACCGAATACCTTTTTTGTCACTATGAGAAAATCACGTTCGACTGATTTAATATGAAGGGGTTTTGGTGCAAATTACATTGCAAAATTCATAATTATAATCATAGTCACAACTAAGGGAGCATGGATGAAACTCATTGTCAAGCCACAAGTATGTTTCAAGCAAGTGGTTTCTTCTAAGAGTGAAGGAGAGAGCAGGCTACTTGGATATCTTAATTTACCTATTTGGGTGTTTTTATTTTGTAAATGGTTGATAGTTTTTGTTGTGATATCATAAAAGTAGATCAAAGGAATTTTAAGGTAAATTCAATATCTATATCAGGCCATCTAATGCTTTCCACCTTATTTGATGTTCACACTTTTCATTTTATTTCAAGCCTATTAGCATTATTTCCTTTAAGTTGGATCAATATCAAATTGTAAAACACCAACTATCAAATTAAAAGGGGCTATTTTGCCTCTAAAATTAGGAATTTATGTTGATCTAATAATTAGTTTTTTGTACACCAATATAGTTTAAAATGCAAAACACTTTTTCAGTTTTTTTATAAATAATATATAAATAAAAAAAAATTGTGTGGTTTGAATTCATCACTTAAACTATTGTAAAATATTTAAAAAATCACTTATTATTCCAACACACGACCTTGCAAATTCAAACCATGGATTAATGAATCCCAAAGGGAAAATATTTAAACTTGGGATAAAAGCCAACATTCAGGCTACCACAAGAAGGTAGCACCAACATTTTCATCATTGCAATACAAGTAAGGATGCTACTTGAACCATTATCCCTGTAAAACCTCCTTAGTCATCATCACAACTTCCTTGTTGCTCAATGGACCCAAGTTCTCCTTCAACACCATCTGCACCGCATTGCTAAACGCTCCAAATGCCTTCCCTCCGCCCTCACTCTCACTCACGTCTACAAACGTCTCATTTGCCTGGAACCCACTTAGCAAAATGCTTTCATCCAGTTTGGAGGACATTGAATCCAATTTGTCCTAGGGAAGATGGAATTTGAGGCTAGCATTAGCACCAAAGGTCAACTTTATGCGTACAAGAGTACACATGGCTATATAACCAGTTAAATAAACACCATGATCCAATCTTCACACATTTAATTTCCTATAATCCGAAGGCAATCTAAAGAAATCTCAACGTGCTTTTGCAGGTATGATCTCTTATTTCTTTCACAAATCCAAAGCCAATAAACTAGCTCAATTCAACCTCAAGATTAGAGGTTCTAATTCCCGGTTTCTCTAATCACTACAATCTCCTTAAAAGAATCCAATGCATATAAAAATTATCATAATGGTTAAGGAGATTCCACCCTTGGGCATTTGAAGACAATAAGAACCAAAAGCACATAT